TTTAAAAATAATTTTTAAATTTTTTTTTTCAATAAAAATTTAAACTTATTACTCATAATAATACTCAAAAAATAAAAAATCTTCGCAAGATAAACCAAACACACCCTTAATTCGTTCGGCCGCGGCATTCCCCCGAAAAGGAAACGCAACGGAAATTGGAAGTTTCAGTTAAGGTCCCCACTTCATCTGTCTTGGGGAGCAAGTAGAAATTGCGATTTATTACCCTTCTGCCACTCCGAACCAACCATTTAGCTCGATATTGAGCTGGACATACCTAGCCAGGAATCAGGTTCGGGTCAAGGTTTAGTCCACTCGGGTCCACAGGGCCCACTGGCATTACCGTGCACTCTTTCACCGAAGCTGAGCTTCATCAGTTTCCGAGCCTGTTATACCTGTCGTGGGCCCCCTGCGCCGTGTTTTCCCGCTCTTAAACACACTCTCTCTCCTCACACCACTTCCTTAGCAAGGTGTATAAAACCAAGGCTCCTCAGGAGAAGCTTATGGTGTACTCTCTGCTCCGTTTCTCTCGAGTCTCTTCTCTGGGTCATGGCAAGGTAAGCTCGATTTTGATGATGGAACCGGAAAGCACCCACCTTTTTCTTCCTTCTCTGATGGGTAAATTTTGGTTTATGGGTTTTGATTGAGATTCTACTTTTAGGTTGTCTTGATTTGATTCAGGGAAAATGGATGAATTTCTTTTGCCCTTTTGGTTTATTGATGGTGTTAACTCAAACGTGTCTTCCCTAAAATCTGATTAAGGTTTTCTCGATGAAATTTTTATCTTTGGAGATAATGATTACCAAACTTGGGGTTTCGTCAAGGACACCGTTTTTGCATAAACGGAGATGCTTTTGTTCGATTTGGGGGTTTTATGGGACACCCAATTTGAGCTTGATGTCAATGGCGGAAATTGTTATCTTTTGGGGTTTCCTCTTACCCTGTGGAGTGTGTACTAACGACTATCATTTTGGGGATTCTAGGGATTTGTGAGATGATTTTTCTTTTGTGGAGCCTTAAGATTGGGATTTTAAGAAGATGAACTGCTCAAGAGAAAAAAATGCAAATTAGAAAGGGAAAATCAAGTAAAAAAGCTCATTTCTTTTCTAGCTACATTCACAAAGAAGATACTGAAATAGAGATGAATCTGGGCCCAAAAAAAGAAAAAAAAAAGGGAGATTAAGCTCCAATGGACATGTTTCTTCCAAATGATGTTCTATGTGGCATCATACCAGATTAACCTTGCAAAGTGTTCTTGGGTACACCGAGCACGTAACCTTGTGATTTTACTCATATTTATGGCACATAAGATGTCATTTAGGAATTTGTTCCTATATGTCTGTTTTTTCTGAGCATACCAGTGACCTTTTCTTGTTGTTTTACTGGTAGACTCATACTGAATCTGTTCTCCTTCTCTTTTTCCATTCACAAGGGCTTGATATATTGTATCTAATCATTATTGCAGGAGCTGGAATGTTGATGGTAGAGCAATAGCAAAGAAAGTAAGGAATGCTTCCGTGTCTTCTGTTCTTCACATCGAAGGCTGTGGAGCACATAGTGAATGCCCAAGTTGCCACTGTCGCATAGATAACAGCGATGTAAGTTGGAAGTTCACGTTTTCATTTATAAAGTTAATCTAATTTTTGCAACTACATGTTTGCATTTGCCATTTAGATTTAGCTGTGTCTCTTTATGTGGAATTCTTAGCATAAAACATAAGCTGAATGGACCCAAAAACTTGAATATTTCAGTTGTCTTTCTGGTTTTCCAAATTTCTGAAATTATGCAGCACTTGCATATCTCGTTGCATTAAGTGGTTGAAAAATTGGGATGTGTATTGACCGATTATAGTCATTTTTCATTTAGGATTGCTCTTAGTGATATCTTTGTTGGAGCTTCCTCCATGCAGGTTTCTCTGGAGTGGGATGGTCTACCTGCTGGGGTAAAGTTTGATCCATCTGATGTAGAGCTTGTTGGACACTTAGCAGCTAAGTGTGGTACTGGAACATCAAAACCCCACATATTAATCGATGAGTTTATCCCAACACTTGAGGAGAATCAAGGAATTTGCTACACTCATCCAGAAAATCTTCCAGGTTATATAGCTTGCCTTCCAAAGTTCCTCTGTTTCTATTTGACTTTGCTATCACCCATGAGATAAAACCAATGGCAAGTTAAGATTACTGTGAGATTTTAGAGTTGTTGTTATACAGAATCCAATTTATAACCTATTCAGTCTTGAAAAAAGTATGTAGAGTAAGTGCAACCATATGTCATAGGACATCAACGTAACATTTTTCTTTGTTTGCTATAGGTGCTAAGAAAGATGGTAGTAGTATCCACTTCTTCCACAAAACAATCAATGCTTATGCTACTGGTCAGCGCAAGCGCCGAAAGATCCACAATCAACATGATGAGAATCAGGAGGATGTTCGTTGGCACAAAACAGGTAAGACTAAACTGGTCATAGACAATGGTGTTGAGAAGGGCTGGAAGAAGATCATGGTTCTTTATAAGAGTTCAAAGAAGGGTTCCAAGCCTGATAAGTCCAACTGGGTGATGCATCAATACCATTTAGGAAAAGATGAGGAGGAGAGGGGTGGGGAGTTTGTGGTTTCTAAGATTTTCTATCAACAACCAAAACAAACTGACAAGAATGATGAATTCCCGGTCAAGGAAGAGCAAGATAATTTGAATCTTCACACTAGTCCGAGGACTCCAAAAACAATTCCTCCCAATCCACCTCGTTCAGGGAAGTCTGTGATGGATGATGATGTTACTGATGATAATACAATAATGTCATCTCCCCAGGTAATGGTTTTCCTTTTTTTTTTTCATAAACATGTACAGAACTAATCCATATGCCTCCTTATTTAACTATTGATGGTTTGCCAATGGTCACTATGTCAGAGTTCATGTTTGAACTTAGATAACAATCTGTACATGCTTCTTCTGGTTATAGATAAAGAAAATCTTATGATTAGTTGAGTGCTTCTTCTGATTTTGATTAGCATAGTCAGCATGAGGATCATTAGGAAACTTGTAATGTTAAGTTTGCTATGAATTATCAATCAAATGCAATTTCATTGAACTTGAAGACTGAAAATTCATCTAGTTTGCTGTCAAAACCACTAAATCATGTTTGCACTTTTAGTTTGTATCATCTATTTTGGCTGCTTTTGGTTCTAACTTAAGTTCCACTTGTGGATTAGGAGCCAAAGTTTGATGGACAAGCATACTGTGTCCAGCCTCCTTCTGCTCAACCTGAGGATGACATAGAGTACTCCACATGTTTGGCAGGAGAATCTCAAGCTGCTGTAAACCCTGCCATGACTTCCATCGATGATTCTCTGTTAAGCGAGATCTTCAATGCTTCATCCCTTGTAAATAATTCAGGAAAAAATAATGTTCCAGAAACTGGCCATAGTCTCGGCAGCAATGAGGTGACAAGGAACAACGATGCATCTTACGATCTCTCTGACTCTGAGCTTGCAAAGTTAGGATTATTAGACATCCCACTTGGTATAGAAGTTCCTGTAAGCTACATTTCTTATCCCTTTTCCAAATTCCACTAATTTGTTTACCTTTCAAGTCCTATCATACATTTGAAATCCTTGTAAATTGCCTGCAGGATTGGCCATTTGGCTCACAGGACAGCAATCATAGTTGGTGGGACCGGCCATGAGGAATTTTTGTAGGGTTGTTCTGTCTTTCGGAAATGGTTGCATGTTTTGGCCTCATCCTCGGATTCTGCATGTTGGAGATTTGGTACTGCTGTTTTCCATTCCTCGGTGTTGTTGTAATTATAAAGTTCAAATGAACTCTAGCAAATTGTAATGAGTAACGACATTAATGACTTGTGTTGTAATGACAGTGTGTACATTTACTACAGTAACTAGTTTCATAAGAAAATGTTCATATAAATCCTAGTCTTAAAAGTTAAGGTTCCGTTTAATATAGTTTTAGTTTTAAGTTTTTTGTTTTTAATTTTTATATACTTAGGAATTTGTGTTATATTTAAATTAAATTTAATAAATTTTAATTTTTAAAATATAATAATAATAATTATATATATAACTCAAAATTCAGAACAAAGATTATACTAAATGAAACTTAAAAATATTATAAATTCAAAACATCTTTTTATAAGTACAAATAGTTTACACATGTAAGTTTATTAATATATGCCTTTCAAGATAAAGTCTTTATAGGTTAAGTTTCCAATTTCTAAGTTTCAAAACAATGTCTCTCTATGTCTGTAAAATGTGCGGGTTTCAAAACATTGGGTGTCAGGCAGTATATGCCCCCAAGGAGTACAAAGTTTGTTAATGAAAATTAACTAATTTTTTGAACAATTTGTCAATGAGCGAACTTGAAACCCGCTCATGAAAGAGGGGAAATGCACTTCAAGCTGGTAGGAGGCCAATTAACCGAATTGACCCTTAGGTTAGGTGCAATGAAAATTAACTATTGATAAAAAAAAAAAATTGAAGTTTGTTATGAAACAAGGTCACAAGTTCATTCAGCCTAAAGTTACTGGGTTTAAGGCCCAAAGTTTGTTACTGTTACTACTAGAATGGAGTCCAAGTTATTTAAGTATGAAATCCAAATTCATTGGGCTAAAAGTTGTAAATAAAGCTGAAGGCCCAAAAGTGTAGCGATGGCATTGGCAATGTAAAATGACGTCGTTTTAGGGGCACAGTTTCTCTGTAGCAATAGTGTGAAGTGTAACCCAGACCCAAAACCTAAAACCCTGAGCCTAAATCCTGTTCGCAAAATCAAAGAAAACCCATGAAGTGAAACCAGACGCTGATTCAGAAAGCAGCGATCTTTATTCCATTTGAGTAGATGTTTGCTGCTAGAAATCTTCAAAGAAATTGCTTCAGAACTCTATCTTCTCTTCTCCAATCCAATCCCGCCAAGTAAGTTCCAATCTTTTTCTGTAATTGAATTTCTTTTCTCGTTTAGTTGTTTTCATCTTCAGGATTAACTCAAAAATCAAATCTTTTCCTTTTGTTAATCAATTTTTTTCTACTTTGTATTATTTGATTTGAGTGTACTTGCATATATTTGGAATTTTGTTTATTTATTTGTTCTCTAGTTGATTGTGTAGTTGTGTATAATCTGATTTCTAATGCCTGAGAGGAACTTTATAAATTTACCAGTTTTCGATTTTCTGGGTTTTCTCCATTCAATTCAATCTTGTTCTGTACTTTAATGGAATGTTAAAATGCAGAGATGTTATGTTATTTAAGGATGTTGCTCAAAAGCAAGTAGTCAGCAATGTGATTCAAACAAATACTTTATGCGAAGAAAGTTATGTACCATTACCTTTGCTGAATAGTCCTTTCAATGGCTGGTTTCGAACAATGTCAACGTCTAAGGGGAGAAGCATGCGGAGCAAGGTGGAGAGAAGAATGCAGAAAGAGTCAGGTAAAACCTCAAGAGAGATCAGGAGAGCAAAAAAGATTAAGAAGAAGCTGATGACTGATGAAGAGCGGCTTATTTACAACCTCAAAAGAGTATGTTATTTCTCCAATATGAATAACTGTAGCTTATTGTTAGGAGAAGGAAACTAAAAATTAAGGTCTCTTTGGGCACACTTTTATTCAGGCTAAGTAGCATACTTGGATATATACACTAGGTTACATTTGCTGAGGGATGCTGAAAAAAGTGGAAAGATTAACAAAATGCTGCTGATAGAGTTGAGTTGATTAGGTCCTCTGCTGCCTATTGTTTGAGTAATGATGTTATAAAGCTTTGGAAATACTCAAATTGCCATTTGGATGCTATTCTTTTATGTTTGGGACTATGATGTTCTATCTAATTAATGCAGGCCAAGAAGAAAGTTGCACTTTTGTTACAAAAGCTCAAGAAGTACGAGCTTCCAGAGCTGCCACCTCCAGTACATGATCCTGAGTTATTGACCACTGAGCAGCTTCAAGCATATAAAAAGATTGGATTCAGAAACACAAATTATGTTCCTGTTGGTGTTCGTGGAGTCTTTGGAGGAGTAGTCCAAAATATGCATCTCCACTGGAAGTTTCATGAGACTGTGCAAGTCTGTTGTGATAACTTTCCAAAAGAAAAAATCAAGGAAATGGCAACTATGCTTGCAAGACTGAGTGGTGGCATTGTGGTTAACATACATAATGTAAAAACAATTATCATGTTTCGTGGTAGAAACTATCGGCAACCAAAAAATCTGATTCCTATCAACACCCTTACAAAAAGGAAGGTGAGTAAACATCTTATGTCTTTTGTCATTACTATCTTGGATTTATTTGCATCAATCTGTGGTAACTGTTATATCCTTAGCAGCAAAATTTTGTTTTGAAACCCTAAATGGGAAATGCTTTCTGGGACTTGTCTTCTCGTTGTATTCTAGCCCAGAAAGTGTCTGGGAAAGAATCATTCAAAATCTGACACAATAGTCTAAAATGGAATGATATGATTGCTTGTGTTTGTAAATGCAGGCATTATTTAAGGCCAGATTTGAACAAGCTCTTGAATCTCAGAAGTTAAATATAAAGAAGATAGAACAAGAGCTCCGACGAAAGGGCATTAATCCTGAGGATCCAGTTGCAATGGCCAGTGTTCAGAGAGTAGCTTCAACATTCTTCAATGCAATTGATGAGAAGGAAGGTAGCCCTTATGTATTTCATGGGTACAATAAAATGTCTGACGTGGTGCCTAATACAGATATGTCACTCTCAGAACCTCCTGATGATAGTGACCAGGAGGACCTAGATAATTTCATAGCTGAAATTGAGGACGCAGCAGATAGAGAATGGGCTGAAGAGGAAGCAGCAGAGGAAAAAGAGCTTGGAAGAATAAGATACTGGAACAGAGAAGAAATTGGAGGAAGGTCCAGGAGGGGAAACAATTACTCTGATGATGAGGTTAGAGAGTCAAGAGGTTGGAAGGATAGATTTGGAAAGGGAAGGACTAGTGAGAGCGATGATGAAGATGCTGATAATTCTGAGGGCAACGATGAATGGGATTCTGGTAATGCTGGGGTTACGAGTGACTATGACTCTGAAGAAGCTCATAATGAATTCAAGAGATCTAGGGTTGAAAGGGGGAAGTGGGATAAGGTTAGCAGATCAAATACTAGTGCAGGTTTCAAGAGAAACACTGAGCTTAGTTATGGACAAAAGAGGTCAGAAGTAGATTCTGAATCAGAAAATATTTTGAGTGATCTTGATAATGCAATGTGGGAATCTGATGGTGAGGAAGAACATGATTCTAGATCATCAAAAGTGGTGTCAACAAATAATTTCAGGAGCAGCAGTGATGAAAAGGATGAATCTTATTCCATTAAGGGAAATGAGAGAGTTGGGATGCATGATTATGAAAGTAGTTCTGATGATGAATTCAAGACATTTGATACAGCTGACAAGAAGCAGGATGGTAGCAGTAGAGACAATTTCACTGAAGCTAAATCTGGCTCTAGGAGAAAGACGGCTACCAAGGGTTCTATCTCTGACGATGTGTCAAGTGATTCTGAAATTGCAATGTGGGAATCAGACTCTGAAGAAGAATCAAGAGCAGAAAGATATGACTTTACGGGCAATGTTGAACAAGACTACCATCCTCACATAAGCAAAGGTGAGAAAAATGAGGCTATCCATAGGCTAATAAAAGCACCAAAAGAGGTGGACGAGACCTGGGACAGTGACTAAAATTGTAGACTTACCCAATTTGCTTGCCTTCATTTGAAATGGAGGAGTTCAAGGTTATGAACTTAAACCCATTCATTATTCAAATGGATCAAAATAACTTTGAAATTTGTCATCTTAACATTATTCTTCTTGTGGGATTACAATTCAGAGCCATTCTTCCTCCTCTGAAACACTGTTTTGGAAATGAACTGTTTGCTGGGGTGAAAATTTACAGTTGTCCTCTGTTCAACATTGAAACATAGATATCATGACTCTTCCTGGTGGTTAAACTGATGTAAGCTTATTAGTAGTAATAATACTTGAGAAGACACGGTAATCACTACGCTAGGTTAAACATGAACGATCCTGATCGTCAAAAAATCCTCTTCTTAATCATGTCATTATCAGAAATCAGAAGACAAAAATATCTTTCAAATAATATCAGTTCTTCAAGTGAACGCTGAAGCAAAAATGTGGACTTTTTGGCACCAATTCAGTGCGGACGGTGGAAATTGTGGCTTTCAACTGATGCGTGAATGTTGATACGTTGCAACTTGTTCCAATAAATAATCAACATGTTTCCTTAATCAATATTCATTAGATTTTTCAACAAAAACCTAATCACCTTCCTTCGTCGAGTTTCTCCATGTTCTATGCATTTTTCTTAGCTAGGAAGGCTAAGAAAAAAACTTGTTTGATCGTATCCTAAACGCATCTCTATTAGAGGAAAAATAACAAAAATTGCTTGACTAAGTTCTGTCCTTACTTCTTTTCTTCACCTTAGACTTAGACATATACATCACCCTGACCCGTTCATTAAAATAAAAATAAATTGGACACAACATGCACGTTTCGTAAGCCAGAAGGCCTTAGATTTTTTGCGTCTCTTCTCTTAGCCAATTGGGGGAGAGAGCTTAGCAAAATAATAACAACCATAGTACAAATGCAAATAAATGATATTTATCAATATCACCAACCATGCGAGTTCCTATCTGCCATTGAACTTGACATGAAAGGATCAACTAAATATATTTATGTCTGAATTTCTTAAACTATGGCATCATGGGAATCAAGCCGCTTAACAAAGCAATCATCTTTTCAACAAATTGTAAGCCAATGAATGAATTGGCAAAACAAAATTTTTCGACCTAGGGGATAAAAGTTTGGACTAAGAGAAAAAAAATTTTTTTTTTCTTTTAAAACTAGATCTAATGCCCTTCTTAGACCTGGTGATCCAATAATAATTTCCTTCTTCCTCAGTCTTCTTGTGTAAATTAAGTTGAATGGAAATAGAGAAGAGAGGGTTATATTTTTTTCGTGAATCCCTTGAATAAAAATTGGTTTTTCTCATTAGGATTGTGGTGAATATAATCACTAGCTGCTGAGCAGAGCGGCCTTCGGTGACTGGCACTTCCGGCCAAGACTGGATTACGCTTACGGGTAGTTGAAGACTTGAAGTTGTGGAAAGCTACTACCTCAAGGATCAACTTCCCCAGCAACAGCCAACACCAGAGAAGAATAGTCAAAGTCTACATAATGAAAACCCAAATGCTGACAAATGCATTACTTTAATGGGGGGATCCCAGTTTTCCATTGTTTTCTCCATTTCTCTAGTGGTGGGACAGCCGGAATCACGTTCAAGAACATTTAACAAGGCAAAAAACAAAACACTCTGATTTGAACCTTTTCTGGGGACGCACAATTCCCAATCAAAATGACTCAAAATTTAACTTCACTTGAACGTGTCAACTCTTCCCCAAATCAGACTTCTGGAGTCCAGGTACCCTTCCTGCTTTGGACCTTTGGAAGCATGGTTGTCAAAATCTAAATTTAAATCTTAAAATCTTAATTTTAGCAAGACATTTCGTGTAAAATCTATACTAAAATTTGAAATTAATAAAATCTGGGGATTTCACGGTAAAATTTAGATTTCACCGTGAAATCAGGTAAAATCTCGATTTTACCTTCTGTTTGGCAGCTGGACTTTTTGTCTATTTTTTTTTAGCTTCTCATTTTGGGTTAGTGAGTTTTGACTAGATAACCCATAAATTAAATTTATTTTTCATTTTAAAAGCTCACAACCCACACAACCCAATCACAAATCAACATTTTAATCTAGAATTCGGGACAAATTTGATTTAACCATCTAAAATTCTAAATTTAAGTCATTTTCTTCGTTTAATTTATTTGTGTTGTTGGATATTTAGATTTTAATCAGCTAATTTCAAGTTTCTAACTCTAAATTTGATTTATTGTCATTTAATTTTGATTTTATATAATTTATTATATATTATATATTAAA